GTTTAAGAAAAAAAAATTCTATAGAGAAAATCTCAACAATAATAATGTTTTAAAATCTGACTTTTCTTATTACAAAAAAATTCATTGGGTTAAATATTTTAAATGTTTGTGGCACGCGAAATCTTGCAAGTAAATTGACTTAATCATATTAACAGACTACAAACCAGAGTTCTCATAAATTTGGATTAGGTAATGGAAAACAACAGATAGTTAGACTGATTTAGAAAGCAATATCCAAAGTTAAATATAACAAAGTACAAAATCACAAAACAAAGATAACTACAAAGACATGAAAATTTCAAGACCAATCTAATTTACTGTAAGATCACTCGTTGAACACATGAAATTTGTTACAAAATCGACGTATGAAAAAAGAACAAATAAGATGATTTACAGTGATCAAAAATATTAGAAAGTATTATTTTACAAAGCCTCTGTATGCACATAGAGCAACATCATCCAACAAGTGAGCCAAAACTTTGAGAGCTTTTTATGATCCAAAGAATGATTCAAGAAATTCCAATGGTCTTTCCCAAAAGCCAGAGAACAAGTGACATTTCGATCCCGAAGATCGTATGCAGAGTACTTCTATCGAGTGTAAACCCAAACACGGTGATTCCTGCTCTGTTGTTCTCAAAGTAATTCACTACAAACAATAAAAATATGAAAATTGGTGAGATTGGTAAACCTAAAGTTGTGAAGAAATGAGATTTGATGCAAAAATGTACCTAGAGCTTGTCGTTTTTGGAATGATATGGTGCTATAAGCATAAGCAGGGATGAGATTGTTGTTATCGAAATCATCTTCTTCGTCTCCATAATCCTCACTATCGTCTGATCCTCCAGTATCAACATCTGTTGAATAGAATCCGTGTCCGCTTGCTCTATCAACTAACCTTGGAGTCTCTCCATCAACTGTCTCAAATGATTCTATTGTCGCGCAGACATGCCATTTGGCTGCAAGGCAAGTCACCGCCTGAGCTTTGTGCGTAATCTTTGAAGCACTTCGTAGTAGAATGAGCAACGCAGTAACCAACGTCATCGAACATAGCTGAGATTACCACAAGAAAATGGTTACAAAAGATGCAAAATTTGTCTCCAATAGAAGAATGTAATAAACAAAACTCACCGCGAGTTCTCCAGCTCGATAGATATTCAATTCGGCATAGGCCTTAGTGGTAATAAGCAGAGAGTAAAACTGACTGCCAGTGACAAGAATCAAGGACAACAATATGAATGTTCGATATCGGTGGCTGATGATTCTCAAGTGACGTCTGATTCGGAGATGCTCAGACAAAATGGAACCAACATCTGAATCCATTTGAAAGACTTGAGCAAAGTCTTGGAGCCTAAGGATCTGAAGATGGCAGATTAAACGGAAGAGGACACAAACCAAGAAGATCACGGTAGTTCGGTATAGCCACGAGCAAAGTTCCATCAAACAAGCGACTGTATCACTCAAGATAACATTACCGAGGAAAGGAATCTGAGAAGCACCTGAAGCATACCACCATATCTTGTATGAGCTCATTGCTAAGAAACAAGGGGTAACGAAGTAGGAAAGAATCTTGAGCGATCTCTGCGCATAACAAAGAGTTGCGATTTCAGTTTTGCATAAAACAAAAGCAAAACATTGTAGTAATGCTTGTGAAGCAAGTAAAAAAGAGGCTTTTTGGAGATTTTAACACCAACATTAAAGAATTATTGGGTTCTAAGGTTTCAGATTGTTAATTTGTGTCGAATGTTACCACCAT